TGGGATGGAAACCTCGTATGGGATGGGAAGAAGGCTTAGAAAAAACAAGTGAGTATTCTATTATTAGCTATATTTGCCTTTTAATATTCATTTTTATTAACGTTCTATTTTTCTATTCTATGTGAATTCATTTAAAAAAGTTGAATGGTATAAAGAAAATAGTGATAAGTGGTGGGGTGATGTTTCTTGTGCATTGGTGCCACATCCTTTGAAGGCATTACCAGCGGTGGATTACTCTTTATCTTGAAAACAATCAGTTCATTCACAATTTGCATTACATTTAAATTTTTTTACTATTAGCATTTAATTTAATTCATGAATTTTTAGAGTTTATAGACTTTGAGTAGGATTTACTAATTTCCCTATTGAATGATCATTCTCATTATACGAAATAAATCACTGCGTATTTAAATTAATTTTTTTCAGGATACTGATATGGACCGTAAATATTATTACTTCTTGTAATAATTATCGGTAGGCCGAATGACTTGTGATAAGCTTTTACAAGACATTCAGCAGCCGCTTTTGTTGCAGAATAAGGATTTGATGGAGCTAATATAGATTCTTCATGGCAATCAGGCTGTTTAAAATTAATATAACTTAATAAATGACATGATCATTTTACAGTATTATCAATTGAACTATATTCAAATCATTTGTATAGAGTTCCAATCCATTAAGCATTTATCCGGATAATTATCCCATATACCTGTCGGATTATCCGGATACTTAGATACAGATAAACGGATGACGGATTATCCGGACTGGAACTCTACATTTATATAAAGCTTCAATAGACAAAATAATAAATAATATGATAATGAAAGATATCTTTAATAGAAACAACCTACACTGGTTTTTGCGACTTCACCATAAACTTCATCCGTACTAACATGAATAAACCTCTTAATTCCATGAACTTTAGCAGCTTCTAACATAACATGAGTTCCCATGACATTATTTTTGGTAAATTCGAATGAATCACCAAAAGAATTGTCCACATGTGTTTGAGCAGCGAGATGAATAATTGTATCAATTTTTTTTTCTCGCAATATAAAAGACATGAAATCTGATGAGGTTATATCACCCTTTTTTTAAAAATAACAATAAATCACATAAATTTTATATCGAAATGAAAAGATTTGATAATAGATTTAATTACCTTTACGAATTTATAACCTGGAAAACCTTTAATAATTTTTAAATTATTTAAGCTTCCACAATAATCCAATTTATCTACAACTACAATATTGAATTCTGGGTATAGAACAGCAAGTTTTCGAACCAAGAAACTACCACTATTTAAAACTAAAAGTATTATTATATAGCAATGAAATAAGCAATTTTATAATAGACTAATATAAAATGCAACTTACAGGAAACCAGCACCTCCGGTAATCATTATATTTTTAATATTAGGATTAACAGGTTCGACTCTTGTTCCGATATCTTCAAGGTCTGCTAAAGGAATCTGATCGATGACCGCTTGCATAGGATGAAGTGAAGGTGTTTGTGAAATTAAACTAGAGTTGTGAAATAATTTTACCATTTTGTTAATCGGCAATCGGTAAAGGTGTAGTTGACGAATTGGTGTAAATAGTGAAATGGTGATACGGTGAAAGGGTGAAACGGCGAAGTGGTGAAAGGGTGGGATGGAAACCTCGTATGGGATGGGAAGAAGGCTTAGAAAAAACAAGTGAGTATTCTATTATTAGCTATATTTGC